CCCCAGCCCCCCCAACCCGGAGCTGATGAATTTGAAACCGTCGTTTGAGACCGGACCTGCGCGTTTTTGCACCGGAGCCGCGTTACCGAGCGGAGAGGACCGCGGCTGAATCGTAAAGTCTTCAGAAAAAAAAAAAGGTAACTGCACGGCGCCGTTTTCTGCTCCACACACACATACTGAAGTTAGCCTCTTAGCATAGCAGCCCTTTTTATCCCCCCCCCTGCATGCAGGCAATGATGATGCTTTTTTTTCCCCTTTTATTGTCAGAGGACAGCTGTTATTAATGGCCACTTTTCCTCTCGACGCTGTCATGTTTGGCGGATTCAGAGGAGATTTATCGCCTCGCCATGAACAATACATTTAAACGGTTGTTTTTTTAAATGTATTATTATTAGGGGAGCATGGTCAGGCATCTGATACCTTCTCCTACAAACTGAGGTGGGCTCTGGTCATGTGCACTGTCCACTACATTAGAGAGTGTGAGAGCACCGCTGATGGAGGTTTTTTTTTGTTGTAATAACGTTGCCAGCTGTTTGTGCTGAGCAGCGGGGATCATCTGACGGCTGTGCGTTGCTCAATTTTCACTATGAGCGCCCGGAGTCAGCCTGTCATTTCTCATCATTATTTTATTTATTTTAGGGGGGGGTTCACCATATCCTACCTTGGTTGTGTCCAAGGAGAAACGTTGAGGACGCTTGATGGTGGTTATTTTGTCACGAATCGCTCATGGAGATGTCAGTGTTCATTCTCATCACGGGTGCACGGCCGACGTTGTCGATGCAGCAGTGGGAATTAATATTCCAAAATAAGCTAATTTAACACGCATTGTTCATACACTGAGCCCCTCTGTGCACTAGCCTCGGCTACATGGAGGCAGCATCGTAGCACAAAGGAGATGCTGAAACCTGGCAGCATTGAAGCCAAGACGTGCGAGTCTTATATCACAATAACACTCATATCACGGTTTTTTTTCTTTCTTTATGTGCAATATGAATTCTTCTCGGAGCATCACTGCAGTGTGACCTTTTCTGTTTCTTCCTCTGCGGGGCCTGCTCGCAGTTCAAGGACTTACACAACTGATGTGACCAAGTGATGGCTGAGAGTGGCAGCTCTGAATTTACAGCTTAATGTGTGTGTGTGCGTTTGTGTTTGTTTGTGTGTGTGTGTGTGTTTTGGCTTGAGCTGCTTGTCGTCAGCCCTCATGTTTGTCCTCCTAGAATATGTTCAGGTTCAGGAGATTTTGGATTGCTGTACTAAATTTAGAGTCTTGATGCCAACATCAGAGGCAGGCCAACCTGCCATATTCCTTGTAGTTTTGAAAGGTCCTCAGCTTCAGTTCAGCACATTACATTGTTTTCATTTCACTCTTTGAGGCGTTCACCGGGATGCATTTCACATTTTATGACATTATGTAATTAGCTTACATCGTTCTTTATCCTTTAAGAGAGAAGTGCAGTTCAGTAAGCTGTCCTAGATTTTATTCTAGATATTTTACACTTTGTTTGTGTGTGTGGTTTGATGTAATCTCTCTCATAGTGTCAGTTATGTCTTAGATAAACTAAAAAGCCCTCATATGTTCTCACACATTAAAGGGCAGGATGTGCTGTACCAATATGGACTAACCCTACACCAATGAGCCCATTTGGAGCACCCACTGTACTGTATAGTTGTTCAGTAAACCTGTGCACCTCAGCAGATTGCTGGGAAAGATATTTTGATTTATCATCTTCAAGCAAAGATATTGTCAATATTAACTTGGACAAAGAAAACACATTAGATTAAGGCAAGACAAGGTTTATACAGCACACTTCATCCCCCATGAAGTTAAGAGGAAAAGAAAGAGAACAAACAAGAAGAGCGATAGAAAGAAGATAACAATTTAACAGTGGTAATAATGATAATAGCATTGACAGCATACAGAAAGGCTCAAATATAGATTATTTATAGACAAAATTGGATATTATCCAAAGACAACAGAAAAAAATAAATGTTTTAAGACACATTTTAAAAGAAATAAGAGACTGAGAACATCTCAGGTTCCTAGGAAGCCTATCAGCTTCTCCAGACGTTGAACTGAGAATGATGGAGAATATCAGAACCTGATGACTTGAGAGTAGCTTTTAAGCAGGTCTATCAAATGGTGGGACAGAAAAACCTTGAAGTATTCTCTATTGCATTATGCAAGTCAATGTAGGTGTAATGTTCTCTGCTCTGTTCTCTTAAAAGCAATATCAATTATTCTTTTATTGACACAAAAAGGGTATAATGTACTGATGCCATCTCTTCTCACCTTTTTCTCATTCTCAGAGGCAAATTATGCCAGCAGCACCAGAGTCGCTCCCCCTGGTGACGTGCCAGCTCATTGGTCAGACTACTCTGCCCTTCTTTAGCCTCCCTGTCTACCCTGGCAGATCCATGCTACTGGATGCTCCTCACAGAGCCACGCCCGCACCATGAGCGCCAACGGGCCCGCCCCAGACCCAGCCCCCGCGGCCCCAGCGGCCGCTCCCGCCTCAACCCCAGCCCCTGCTGCGGCCCCAGCCCCAGCCCCTGCGGCACAACCCGCTCCTCCTGCCCTGCCTGCCCCAGCGTCCACTACCATCCCGGTAGGTGCGTTGGCACAGAAGAAGCGGCAACAGTATGCCAAAAGCAAGAAACAGGGCAGTAACGCCAACAGCAGGCCACCGAGGGCTCTGTTCTGCCTCAACCTCAACAACCCCATACGCAGGGCCTGCATCAGCCTGGTGGAGTGGAAGTATCCTTTACAGTGGATTTATGTGGTGGTGGGTGCATGTCTGAGTGTTAATCGATTAGTAGATTGAAATTTGCAACTATTGTGATAACAGATTAATTATTTAAATAACCTATCAAGAAAAACATTCTCATGTTCAATGTGAGTATATATTGGACTGTTGGTCAGATGTCACCTCTGATGCTAGGAACCTGTGATGGGCAGTTTTCGCTATTTTCTGACCTTTAATAGACCAAATGATTAATGGATTAATGGAGAGAATAATTGCCACATTAATCAGTAATGAAAAAGATCATTACTTGCAGCCGTACTTGTTCACAGCTCATGTGTGCATACCGTTGTTGGGTCCTAGCTCTGGTAATTATGTGATTAGACATTAGGTGAATTCATATAGTGCTTTTTAAAGTAGTCAGGCTACTTAAGGGCAACAAAAAAGAGAAAAAAAGACAATTTTCTCTTGGTTTAAACATTGCCTGCCTGTTTTTGGAGCGATTGTTGGTTCAGTTAAGCTTTGAATTCGATGATGATGTAAAGTGTTTTAATGAACCAATATACTGTATGGATAAGCACACAGTACTTGATATACCTTTTGAATCTGCCTCCTGGGTCCCAGTTACTAAATGATGTTAAACTGAGGTGCAGACACATGTTTCACACAAATGAAAATCACTGGATCCTAAAATACCGGCGGGAGATGTAGAGAAAGGGACTCAGCGCTGGTACAACACAGCTGTGTGACAGCCTGGTGGGCTTGTTGCTAAAGCAGATGCTGTCATCACAAAAGCCATCTGATGTTATAAAGGAGATTGCTGAATGTGAATCAAAAAGATACATTTCATAATCCACCTTTGTGTGATTGTTGTCAGTGGGGATTTACTACCAGTACACTTTCGGAAATGCAGCTGTGGCCGTATTCCTGCATGGACTGCATGTTTTTGATAGTTGAAAATACTTTGTCCGGGATCAAGAATGTGAAAAATAGTTTCTGTATTATGAAATATTTTTAAATGATATAAAGTAATGTTACAGCCAGTGTGTCATTATTACTGTAATGTGGTTGTTTTAGTGAAACAATCTCTAATCCTGACATTGCAGATCAGAAGCTATGTATAACTTACAAGATATTGTTCTTTAAGTCATTAATCAATTTTAAGATGGAAGTTGTCCCTTACAGGAGTTTAGCTTTTGTCAACATTCTGTCGAATCTGCAGATTGAAATTCAGTTTGGCAAATCTGTATTGAAGAAGTGATCCTGACGATAAGAGATAAGGCAATGATAACATCTGAGTAATACAGGTGTTTTCAACCTTTTTGAGTTTTGAGCCCTTAAAACAAAGCTTTGTCTATTTTTGACTCCTCTTCGCAGGTTACATATGTCTATTAAAATATGTGGATTAAAATCAGGTCAACCAAAGGGTGAAAGACTATTTTACTCTTCATACTTTTTACAGATCTGAAGAAGCTTTTTTTTCTTTTTTAGGTTGGGAACCAGTGATCTGGTATACAGACAGATAATTACATGGCTTAAAGAGCAGTTAAGTTATACTTAAGATAACCAATACAAAGCCATGGACATCATGTATGGCTTTGTCATTGAAAAAGACTCAGGTTAATGTACCTGTTTAGTTATGTGAATAGTTTATAAGTTACATATTGTGCAGAAGTAATGTCAACATAGGGGATCGAAATGATGTATTATTTCTTTTTGCTATGTTGCATCATTTTCTTGTTTTCATAAGTGTTTTCCTTAACTCCTTCCCTCAGGCCATTTGATATCTTTATATTAATTGCTATTTTTGCCAACTGTATGGCCTTAGCTGTCTATGTCCCCTTCCCGGAAGATGATTCTAACTCCACAAACCATGACCTGGTGAGTAACCTGTATATGCCATTTTATCCATTTATCCATCTGGTGCTAGTTTTATATGGGCTGGTTTGAGTTAAGGCTTTTATCTGTAAAGTGAATGAATCTATATATTTGTTTAGGTTTTGTGCTATTCTTGTGATAGAGAAAAAAATTACAAAGATTATTTCTTCTAGTGCCTGTTGTTGTCATTTTGCTTTGTTAGCTTTCATATGCTTTATTTATAGTTTAAAGATACATTACAAAATGTGTTTTATAATCCTCTTTCGGTTGACAAAGTTTGATTGTATCGCTCTTTCGAGATAAAGATATAGAGATTTTTGCAGTAATAGTAACACATTGCATAGTATGTCTTCAGTATATTGCTTTATCATGCAGATTTGAAGTATCTGCTGTGCCTACACAGAGAAACACTTTGACAACTATCCTCATTGGTGCTTTATCATGTCATAGTTTCCCTGTACAGAGGTTTTATTCAGCTTTCTATTTTTAGATTTTTCTCGTCATTGCACCACTCTGTGCACCTTGTGCATTTATGTCTGTGTGATGAATTATGGGTGATGTAGTGTTGTAAGCATTGTTCCACAGCTGAGAATGAGTGCACTCTCCAAAAGCCAGACAAATACACAGGATGTGGTCCTTACATGAGCAGATTTTGCTGTAGTGTTCAATGATTCATGAGCCGCTTATACAGCGTGTCTGCAGACATTTGAATGTTCTTGAAAGCTACGTCAAAGAGCAGGAACATGTTAGAGATGTTACCAGCTTGCTCTAAAAAGACCGGCGGGAGTCTTTCTCTGTCTGTTACGCTGCTCAACCCGCTGCGCAAGATAAGCTGCAGCTTTGGTTAAAAGTGTGTCTGGTCTACTTTAGAGAAGTAAGGTGTACTGCTTCTCAGTTTGACCTCCTGGAGGGTGACCTCAGGGTGTTTGTTTACTCAGTGGTGGTGCAAAAGAGGAAAGTGGGCCATCTGGGATGTTACAGTGTCTGATACAGTATTACAGTACATACTGTACAGTATGCTGTCAGGGTTAGTTCAGGGGAGGTTTGAAAGAGTTTGATCGTCCTAATAGTGTTAAACGGAAAATGATTTTTTTTTTTATTCTATAATGTGAATATACATACAGCAACAATAGAGTTTAATGTCTATTCTCATAGGTTTGAGTGTGCCAAGTCATTTTGTACTTACACAGCCCAGCTCTCTTTTGTCTTTGCTTTACGGATGTTTAGTCGTGGATTAGTATCGGTGCTCATACTAACCTTATTAAGTGAATTAGGTATCGCCGATCCAGATTAGGCTAAGGATTGTTTTCTTTTTGTTCATTTTCTGTGCTGATAACAATTAATCACAGCTTCATTTCTCTATGTGCTTCGCAATAAATGTGTTTTAATATGAATATGGCCTTTAAACCAGTGGTGTTGATATTTTTGACAACTGCGAATGGTAATGTTACCAAAAATGGACCATAAATTTCAGTTATGTTTTATTATGTTTACAGAGAAGTTTACTGATTGTAAATTAGAAAGCAAATATATCATATTGGATTGGTACTTGTTATTGATCGATTCCCTCAGTTTGTTTATCAGAATCAGGGAAGAAAAGAGTCACTAGTGCATCTATACTTTGTTTTTTCATGTTGCAATGTACCAAATAAATATTTCACTACAGAATGTAAATGTGAGGTTTATTTAAGTGTTATTATTATATATATATTATATATTATTTAAGAGGATTTTAGCTGAACAGGAGCTCCACAGTGTTTTAGATGACTGAACAGCTCTCAGTGACAGATGCCACTCACTAATGTATGCCCCAGTCTGATATAGGACAGGGTTAGTTGACAGGTGCTTATTTCATACTGGTAACTTTTTGTATAGCCTCTAAACCTCAAGGCTTTTTTTTTTTTTTTTTACTAACTGCAATGTTAATAAATTCAGAGCGTTGTCAGAATTTATGTTCATATGTTTCATAGCTTCACCTTCTCATGTGTTCAGATCACATCCAAGGGTATCTGGCAGAGAGAAAGGTCCGGGAGTGTTTCAATATTGACTTTAGTAATGACCAAATGGCATCAAACTAAATAATTAAGCTTGCTCAGAATGCCTCTTCTCTATAGCCTAGCCTCTATAATGAAAACTATAGCTATACGTGTAAACATGTAACAGATGAGTGTCAGGTCGGATTTATGGATGCAACCATTATGAATGAACCAAAGTACTACACAATATCCACATTGATCCACAACTGAGCAGCACCATTGTTGTGGCTTACATGCTTCATGAACAAGATGATTAAGTAGAGATGAGAGGATATGCTGATGATTAGATATAGATTTATTTATCATTTATTAATTATTTATAAGTGGCTTCCTATTGTGGTATAGCCAGGACAGTGCTTATATGGATTCTTCTTTAACTGCACTATATTATGTTTTTGCTGATCCTGATCCTGATCCTTGTCCAACACTACAGACAGTGTTACATTGCTTGCACAGGACTTTGGTTTAATTCTGCAGTGTCAACATTAAATCAGATACCAGAGGGTGAATAATGCATTCTTTCCATTTTCAGCAGAGGTTGAACAATAGAATACTTTGTAGGGCAGGTGTGCCAGCTTGGCCTTGTTGTTCTACAGAACTCACACTGTAGTCACAGGAGGAGCGCTAGAGAGAAAACTGCTGAGCTAGTTTTGCTATAGCAGCCAGCAGGTAAGGCTGTAGTGAAGATTACCATTTCACACTGCTCCACTCTGCAGCCTCACAGGTGGACTCAGGGCTGATATGAAACTTGAGGTGGGGTGCTGAGAGGCCTGATGTGTAAAGCAAGGATCAAATTATATCCCTAGACTACAAGCAGGTTTTTTGCTCTGTGACACATTAAGAAGTGGTGTAACTTTCAACACAAAGAGACACTGAAACCCTGCAGTATAGACAGGCTGACTTCTAGGCTTGTGGATGTGTAGACAGTTCACTCACTGCATTGTCAGTTAACACAAACTCCTGAAAGGTAAAAGTACTCAATCTGTTTGTTTGCTTGTGCTACACTGTGCGTACGCAGCCCTTAGGTGATGCAGAGCTGCTGTGAGTTAGAGTGGGCCAATGCTGCAAAGTCATAGAGGCCTTAATAGCATGAGTCTGCCCGTCTTGTTAGTAAGGCTTGGTTAAATGCAGCAGCTCATTAAAAATAGAAAGCAATTTCCTCCTCAGGCGGAACATAGGGCAAAAGATTGGGGTCCAGCTACCACCAGGAGGCACAAGTGAGTAACAGGATGTAGCAAGCGCACACTCTCACAAACGCACGCGCACGTAAGACAACAAATCCTGTCAGGAACTCATAGTCATTTCTTTCATTCCTCTCCTGCTTAACTCTTTTCTGTATTGTTCTTTCTTTGTTAGTCATTTCACTGCAGTAGTAAGAAGTGCACACACAACCCATCTTGCACGTGACTGTGACTCCTCCGCACCCACCTTGTCTAGGGGACAGACAAATAGTCTGCAAGCCTCCTGCCTTTGCTTTAAGGTCATTTCTGACTTATCTATCTGAGACTCAACACCCGAGGCAGCTCCTGCTGAAGGTAGCTGAGCAAAACAATGACCTTTTCATGGTGAATATGATTCATACATCTCATCCTTCGTAAGGCAACACGCAGCGAATTGCGTCTGGTATCATGTAGTGTTTGCCCGTACCACTGTCATTGCATAACTCTGGAGCCGCAGAGCTATTTATTTTACTGGGGACAAAAGGACACAAACATGTAAAGACGGAAATGTCCACTCACAAACTGATTGAGCGGTCGTTTGGATGCCAGCCGAGAGCTCACAGTTAAACCTGAACCTGAACCTGCTTAGTTACATGGAGGATGTCAGCATTTTTAAAACATGAATCATATTGCAAAATATTTTTTATATATGAATGATTGAAGAAAAATAGAGACTGATGCAGGAGGGACGGATGAACACAAACACAAGTTACATAGGGAGACGCAAGGAAAGTTGGAGATCATTTTGAACGACTGTCCCCCCTGTTTAAAAATAACAAGGGAGTCTTGCCTACAGTAATGATAGATAGATAGAT